CCTGGGCCTTCGGAGCCTCCACCGGAGCCTTTGCAGCCTTGGGCTCCTGTGGCGCCGGGGCCGGAACTGGCGCTGGCGCGGCCGGAGCTGGGGTGGAAGCAGCTGCCGCGGCCGGTGCCTCAGAGTCAGAGCAGTCAGTGCAGAAGAGTGCAGACCTCAGAAAAGTTTCAAAAACAAATCAAGGAGGTTCAAGCGACTCGTCTTGCAAGGCGAGTCACGGCTGCCTCACGCTCCTGTTTCGCAGGCTGCGGCTGCGCTTTCGGCTCCGGCTTTGGAGGTTCAGGTGCGGTCGGCACGCTCACCGGCTCCTCCACCTCAGGGGTCAGTATTCCTGTTTTGAATGTTTGATCTCTGTTGTTGAATGTCTGATCACAACTTCTCGCCGCAGTACCTTCTTCAGAACTCCAGCTTTGGACTGCAGCTTCTGCGCAATGAACGCCGCAGGGTCCTGGGATTCTGCACGAAGGACTTGCCCTCCCAGTCTGGCGATGAAAGAAGGCGGTCCTCCGGCCGCTCACGCAGAACCTTGCAAGGTCTGATTGGGCTTTGGGCTCTCTCCATTACGGTATTGAAGTTTTGCCACGAGCTGAGCACCCGTCCGCCTGCATTGCTTCAGACAGGCGCTGCTCCAGCCTTATGGACGCATTGCTGCAATGATGTCGACACTTGGAGGACCATGGGACTTAGTAAGTAAGGTTATAAGTCCCCTAGTTGGGGTTATAAGTATCGTTACCTTAGTTTTAACCCTACTTACTAAGTCCCATGATCCTTTAAAAGCAACGTGCGGGCGTCAGGCAGGAAGCAGGTGACCCTAAACCCTAAACCCCTAAACCCTAAACTCGCAATCCAGGTTGTGAGATGCAGGCTGGTGCTGCTGGAGGTACTCTTTGGCCTGCACTACCTTGCCATCGTAGCGCCCGGAATAGAGAAAACGAAAACAGCTGCAACAGATGGACTTTCATGTGGGAGTTTCCGAAACTAAGGGGTACCTTATTTTGGGGCCTTTATAATAAGGACTACTATTTAGGGTATTCTATAAGGGTCCCCATATTTTCGGAAACCCCCAAAGGTGAGATTCTGAAGAATTGCCTTCGTCTCCTTCGTCGTCTGCTTAGCGGGCTCGGTCGGGGCCTTGGCCGCCTGCAAAGACTGGGGGCAAAAACAATGAAGGGGCCTTAATAATTAGAATAGGGTTTTGGGTGTTCCTTATTATAAGTTATAGTTTAATAATATGCCCCAAACTGAGGCACGACTCGCAAGACTTTATGTTTTGGGTTTAGGGTTTAGGGTATAATCTCATAGTACGATAATGCCTGCCAGTCAGAAAGAATGGTGAGGAACGACTACAGACCCGCGGCAGTGTGTTGCACCTCGTTCGTCGGCGAAGGAAGGCTTGCAGAGCCACCCAGGCAGAGGCGATATTTCACCTTACTCCAAGAAGAGTAGATTTGACCCTCCGGCAACAAGGATCCAGGATTGAAATGCTACAAACATGCCATCGGCGCCTCCTTGTTCGGGATCCGCTCGTCCTTGCCAGAGAAACTGCAAGATCTCGTGGCACAGCACGGTGGAGCACTGTATAACAGACTGACTGTATAACCCTGCAGTACAGCTATAGTACAATCCAGTAACATAACGGGTTTTTTTTTCTCTCCTCCACTTGGATGGCCATCTCGTGAGCGCCCTGGAAACTTTCGCCATCAAGGCTCACCGAGGAGACCTGCAAGGAAGAATGCAGCCACTCCCCCAAACCATCTGCCGCATCTGAGGCTCTCACCCCAACGCGTCGGTACAGCTCGAGCTTACCCTTGAGTTCTACATTCAGTCATTCCACCGTGCAGCGAAAACAGAGACACACACACACACACAAAGGAAAACGCTTCCGAGACTGCCACGTAGCGTCGGTCAGCGGACGATGGGAACTTGTAGGTTCGCGAACAGTTGGCCTGCTTGCATCTCTCGTCATCAGGTAGCGAGTCACCGAGAGTACATTCAGCCCATCCTTCGAGAACTTCTGCTGCTCTCCCACTCTCAGCGACAGGAAGAGATCCTGTGCGAGTCCAAAGTCGCGCCAAAAGAAACCAATTTCGTGGACAATTACAGGGTCCTTCGGCAGCGAGTCACCATCGACAGCCTGCGAGACTCTATGCCGATCCCACCGAAAGGGGCGGTCTCACCAGCTTCACTAGATTGAGCCTGCAAGGAGATGTCGACCATCTTTGTGTCGACTGCTTCCAACCTGCAGTATCATTTTCTGACCAGTCTCCTGATTTCCACGCCGAACTTGCATAGCAAAAAGCCCTGAAACCCTGCAACCCACGCCCCCGTTGCACTTGCTTGGGCCGGGGCGTACATCGAAAGCTTCGTGCCACGGCGAGGGCTTTGCGGCACTCTTGAGCCAAGTTCGGAGGGTTCGACGAGGGCTTAACAGAGGATATCGGATTCGGAAAGAGCGTCGTTCATGGCCCGGAACCCCATACCCGTTGCAGCATTCCGTGCTAGCTGCCTTCTGTAGCTAGGATATCATGGGCTCGGCTTGTCGCTTCGTGTATCGTGGCACGGAACCCTCGATGTGCTACTCAGTTGCCGCAGCTGCACCTGGTAAGGCGTTGTGGAGTGGATGCCGCCAAAGAGAAACACCTCGTCCTGGCTGATCGAGATCGCCTCCGTGGGGGTAGATAACATGGGGGCCCAAATAATTAACAAATGATTATGGGGGGGGGGGGGTGTTAAAATACTATACCATTAAGGCCCTTATATTCAGTAGTCTTGACTCTTGGCAGGGCGGTGAGTTCCTTGTCACATGTCCGACTGAGTGAGGAGCGGTGTGTAACGTTCGCACTGGCGGTAGCTGTGACCCGGGGTCGATCTCCACCACCTAGCGCTATGCCGCCAGAGCGAGTTTTAGTGTCGGTCACAGATGTGCCTCCCATTTATAGGAAGCTTCTCCAGGCTGTCCAGGTTTCAGCAACTCGGCGAGCAAACGCTGCCGGCTGCATGGGCGAGCTTAGTCTGAGCTCCGGACAAACAAATCGCTATTTGGAGCTGGGTTGCCTTGATCATTCCTCCGTCCGTCCATGCCGCCATACCTGAAAGGCGCTGACGCGACTCACGTGCACACAATGCTCGGGCTCCCGGAGTGGGCTTCAACTTGAGCTCCTGACAGCAGAAACCCCACCGCAGTGGGTGTTATCGTGTGCCCGGCACGGGGCGAGACGGAAATCTGGCCGTCATTCCGCAGCCTACATGGCTCCAAGCTGTCGAGACCCAGAGACTCCAAAACCCTTTANNGAATATACCTTAAATTACAATGGGAACCCTAATAAGATTTAAGGTATATTCCTCAATTAAGGGGTATTGGAGTCTCTGAGGAATCTATCCTCTTCGGCTCCCGGAGGCTTGCCTCGTCCATGCAAAGGCCGGCATGCTCTCCTGCCAACAGCATGAAAGAAAGGGCGTCAGTGACTACAGCATGCAACAGTACTAGTAATAGCACTAGCACTAGTAAGAGTAATAGAAACAGTAATAGTATAGTATAACTAGAGGGCAGGGTGGGATAGTATAGTAGAGCACAGTGTAGTAAGTATAGCATAGTATGGTATAGCACTGTAAAGAATAGCGTCGTGTTGTATGGTATGGTGTAGTAGAAGTATAACAGTATAGTAGAGAACTAGTAGAAGTAGTAGTAGCAGTAGCAGTAGCAGTAGCAGTAGCAGTAGTAGTAGTAGTAGCAGCAGTAGTAGTAGTAGTAGTAGCAGTGGTAGTATTAGTCGTAGTAGTCGTCGTCGTCGTAGTGGAAGTAGTAGTCGTCGTCGTCGTCGTAGTCGTCGTCGTAGTCGTAGTCGTAGTCGTAGTCGTAGTCGTAGTCGTGGTCGTTGTCGTAGTCGTAGTAGCAGTAG